GAGAGTCAGCGTGCGTCATGTTGTCACTCACACGGTGACGTATAAGCGGACGCAACTTGAGGATCCGCCCAAGGGGAAGCGGAGAAAGCATAACGAGACCAAGCAGGAAGAAGAGGATGAAGAAGATTCCTAAACAGGATTTTAGTTCGATTCACGATTTCCTTTGTACTGTTGTTTTCTCTATGGTCATGGTACTAGCGCAGGGTCCGGCGTTAGGAGTTAGGAGGCGGGGGGAAGAAGCAAGCGAGACATTTTATTATCAGTTTTGTTCGGAGCAAGCAGTGCGATTTGAAATTCATTTTTCTTCCTCACTTCATCTACTTCATGTGATCGATCAGTAAGCCATGTAGCATTGCTAGTAGGCAAGTAAAAAATGGTAAACTAGTACTTACAGGGTAGATTCATGTGTATGCGTTGGCAATATACTAAGCAGGGTATATACGCCCAGCAGAGGCTCGACCACGACCACGACCACAACCACAACCACAACCCCAACGGAGTACTATGATCCCCACCATTGACATCTATCGATTTCAATTCCAATCAATTCCACGATTCCACTTCTAAACCAACCCAGTCCCTCGCGCTTCTGACCAGAGCCTCATGATAAATCCAGCCCAACCCCTCTCTTCCCCCATCACCCCTCATTCAATGCACCTCCAGTTCCCAGGCAAATATCCCAGAATATGATAATGTATACACCTCTACATACAACGCACAGACAGAGAAGACAGTAACCCAACGAACCCCTCTTTTCTTTCTCCCACTCAATCATACTAATAGTAACTACTAACTAATGAAGAGTGGGTAACCCCTCCAATTCCACCACGTGTAAACCTATCCACCAGGAATCACAATACTAAGCGATAGCTCCACTTAATCTACGCAACGTCCGAGCTGATAGGGAAAGGCTGAGATAGGCTGAGATGCGCGGTGCTGCGCCGCATTGAATTTTTTCTTCCGTCTAATCTTGCTTGTTTATCGGGATTGGGCTACTGGGTTGGTTGGGTTGACTTTGTACCCGGGGATATGGTAACGGGGATGATTGGTGTGGGTTGGGTTGGGTTTGGTGGTCGGAGAGTTACTAGTTAGTTAGTTAGTTGGTTAGTTAGGCTTTGGGCTAGGGGGGAGGGAGGGTTTGGCGCGGTGAGAGTGGTGGTTGGTGAGTGCACAGGCGCGGTGTGGATTTAGTTGGAGGTTGGAGGGGTAAGTAAGTAGTGGTAGTAGTTGATTGAGGTGTTAGAGTGTAGAGTGTAGAGGGTATTGGGGTTGTATGTTGTAGATTGTCGTGTTGTGGAGAGGGATTGTTGGGTAGATGTTAGTAATTATACTATGCTATGTGGTATGTATGTAAGTAGTGGAGGTGATTGAGCTGGGAAGGGTGTAGATGTGGATGTGTGATGTGATGATGTGACTTCAAGTAAATAGAGAGTTTGAGAGTCTTTGTATGTCACCATCACAGTAGTAATACTTCATAAGGATAAATGTAAAAAGAAGTAACTCTGCATTCAACACACAGACAGACAGACAGACACAGCCATAGAAATAAAATACACAGTAAATCACCTCCGTATTAAGCCCTACGTAACGCACCACCACCCACCATACCAATACCATACAATACCAACCAAACCCATCATCTATCTTCCTGGCGGCAACAACAACCCTACATCCTACCCTCACTCCCTCACTCCCTCCTAACACAGTAATCAATCTCAAGTACCTACCTACCTACGTCCTAGTATGTATTCCATCGCTTATCCCCGACGAATCACAACGATGTGAACAGCCTGCTGTGATCTAGGACGGGTGCATCTCGACCCATGATTGGATGACAAGGCGCGCTCTTTGTTTCATCTTGTTGCTGAAGAATTGCGGGTCGGGGTGATTGGCCTGCTTTTGATGTGCTAGTGGGGAAACGAGGATGGGATGGGGGCAGTGATGGACGGAGATGATTACTTTCTAGGTAATAGGGTCGGTAGTTATTTGCTTTGGTTCTGGGGGGTGTTCGAAGGGCTTTTAGATTGATTGGACTTGGGTAGTTTGGGGGTTAGTGGGATTATACTAGTACCCTGTTGGTGGTAAGATTATAGGGTAGGGGATTGTTGGCAGTGGCAATAATAGAGAGACAGTAGCTGAATACCTGGTAGGAGTACAATGTAACTAACTGTGAGTCGGGTGTACTTCAGCCTCATGACTCTTCTTCTGTGGTTACTTGGAAGTAAGTAGTAGTCACTGCAGACTGCGACTTCATTGCACAGACCGTATAGACAGACACAGACACACACATCCGGCGCGTCCGCGTCCAGCCAGCAGAGTGTCTGTCTTCTTCCCTTCAATTGATTTGATACAAAGATAAAGTGGCCGCTGCAGTTAAGCGCCGGCACTAAGCCCGATGGGGCCGCAGTGGATCTTCCCCTCTTCTTTGTGTTGATATGATTGGTGGGATGGTATAAGAGGGATGTGTGGGGGATGGAGATGACGTGTGGATAATAAATACTAGTAGTCAGTAGTAGATACTACTCTGTAATAGTAGTTAGACGAATTAATGTCCTATTTTTGGATGTTTCCCTTTCCAATGCTGCATACTGCGTATTGCGCACACACTCTATCCTCCAGTCTGATTGGAAAAACAAGATTCTTCTGGTCACTAAGCGGTTATGTCATCTGCTTACTTGCACACACGGCAATCCCATCACCAAACCTAATGCACCTGGACGCCATCTCATCACATCTCAACGCCCAGTCATTTTGCCGCCGGGATCTCAGCCGCTCGGAGGATCACCCATCCTCTCGCTGGAATCCTTCTAGTCAGTCATTAGTCAGTTAGTCCATCGTTGCATGCTTCCCAGAAAAGTAATGAGGGGCCGGCACTATTACTACCCTCGGCGCTAAAGTAGACACTCCCTGGTCATGCCGTCCCTCCATCTATTCGACCCAATCCTGGCGCTTCTGAGCCCTTCCATCCTGGTCGATCAGTTGGTCCGCCCCCTGTTGGGAGGAATAGCGCTGGATTCCGGACAGATGGTAGGTTAGTTGCTGTGGATACTCCCTTGACTCGTTCAATCACAGGCTGTCTGTTAAGCGCCGACGGAGAGACGGGATCGAATCCTCGCGTGTGAGCAAATGTCTGGAGGGGTATTTCTATTTTCATCACAGCAGGGAAGTTATTTCTGGTAACGCCAGGGTCTACTTGACTAGTCCTAGCCCTCAGCAATCTGATTGGCCTCGGAGTCCTGGTGCAGGTGTACCCTGCTCGGTGCTTATGTATTGCTATTTCTAGCAACTCATGGGGATATTTTTGGTAACGAGCACGGCGGTGTTGGATGTAACGGATGCGATGGATATATGTATTGTTGAGCATCCAAGATGAAGTTGAGGATGGAGATGGACTCTCTTGTTGCTCGCATGCTATATTTCCCTTCAATACCGGTCTCCTACCTACCTGGTAGAAGTTGAGTTCAATGGAGCAAAGTCTCTGTGGACACAGCCAAGCCCCTCACACTCCGTCCGAATTGCCCCTCGGAGCTGTTCCTGAGAGGCTTGATTTGACTGGCTGAGACCATCCAGTATTGCCCAGTCCAGTAGCTAGTCCGCACATCTTTTGCAGACTCTAGCCAGACTAGTACGTTGTTTACATAGGCAGAAAGTGTCCTGTCAAATCAGATACTGATACTTGCATAGTCGTTCCATCCTCACGAGGGGTACCCATCTGGCACCAGAACTTTGTCAGTTGGTCGTCTACCTAACTAAACCAGATTCCCAGCGGTTAACAAGGTTATGCCGCCCCTGTGACAAAGGATGCATGATTCCCGCTCGCTGCAGCAGTGGATTGACGACGCTCCCCTCCTTGATGCTGCGCTGTCAGCCAATCAATGCCCCGAAGTGGCCTCCGGTGATGATGAATATAGCAACAACGCTGCGTGGCTGTCAGGTTCTTATACAACCTGGAGCGCAATTCCCCTGCATGACGACTATTCTTCATCACTCGGTGAGCGGGTCATGGGGCAATAACCACAGCTGGTGTCCAAGGAAGGGCGACTCGACCCCGCGTATTGTCGCCCATGTGGTGATCCAGCGCTTGGGTATGATACGGTTTGGTACGACTGGTTTTACAAGAAATGAAGGGAGACAGAGAAAAGCAAAAGAAAAAAAGAAAGAAAAAACATAGAGACAAGTGGATGGGGGTGAAGTCACTGTTGGTTCAGTGGGTGATGGTGATAGGCGTCTAATAACCACTGTGCCACCATCACGGCGGCAATGAAGGACTACATCTAGACCAGTGTCCGCACATGAATTCCTAGCACTTTGTTGGGTAGTGCTAGACAGTTCCTCTTCCTGCCTGTGATTGTCTTCCCTTTGTCTAACTAGTTGGTGAGATTGACATCATCTGTGGTTTGCTCATCAACCATGGGATCTAGTGTTCTGGCAGGCTGACTGACGGGCAACTGAACCATGGAATTCGGCCGAAGAGGGGACGCCTGACGGAGCCAACCATGGTAGGGCGGGGGGGATTCTTTAGGGTTCTGGAACTGAGAGTGAGAGAGCCTAGTGAGGGAGAGAGTGGAAAGAAGCTGATTGAGACAGTAGTGAAAGATGCTGACCGATGCGGTGTGATGCCAAGAGGCTATATTTAGAAGCGGCGAAAGAAGAAGCAGCAAAAGAAGAGGAAGAAGAGCAGAAGAAGCCGAAGAAGAAGTGCTCGTGGATGCCCCTCTTACTCTCTTTTTTCTCTATTCTTACTCCTCTTCTTCTTCTATCTTCCTTTCTCTCCCTCTCTCTCCACCTTCTCATCTCGACACCATTTCAACTGCCCTTCGAGGAAGATACTCATCTAACATCTTCCCCACTGCAACCGAACTTCCCGACCAAACTAATATAATCATATTGATTAATATTAATATTGTTGTTATGCATCGAATTGCCTGATGCGGTGATCCCCTCTTATCCCGTGATCTGCGCGCGCCGTTTCCTTCCCAACCCTTTCCAGCGCCTCTCCAATTATTCTATTCTATTTTCCTCCATATGCATCCTCGGCCATCTTATCTGCTAGTGTCTTGTGCTACTTGCTCCCTCTCCTCCTCTTCCTGATATCCGAATCCGAATCCCCTCGATCTTCCTCTCCTGTCTCTCACTCTCTCCCTCTTCCTCAAACCCCCTTCCTCCTCTCTCCCCCTTATCTATCCCGTCCGACCGCCCTCTTGCCATGGCTCACTCGCTCCCTACGCCTTTCACCCCAAACAGTGACTTTGCTGCCCTCGACTCCCACCGCTTCTCCACGGGTCCCATTACAATCACCGCCCTGGCCCGCTTCGAGTTCGAGGCGGGCAAAGCCAACGATGGCACCAAAATCATGATGATCGAATGGGAGGACGACGCTATAGCTCGCTCCTCCTCTTTCCCCGGAGGTTCCTGGCACGTTGCCTGGGAGGGTAAAACCGCCGTTCTCCCTGCCGATGAGAAGACGAGCGACAACACCCGTCGAATGTACTTTCTACTGCCGCCACACGTTACCATTCCTCCCACCGTCACCCTGTCATACGAGCCCCCGGCCCACGCACCCCCGTCCGCCAAGAACCCCGAACCCATGCAATTGAACCCGCTGCCGGCGATATTTCCTCCAGAGCTCGGTGCTGATGGCCGCTCGGCGGGCAAGAAGGGTGTGCTACACACGATATGGGCGAAGAAGCGGCTGCAGGTGCTGGAAAAGGAGATCCGGGATGAATGTCTGAACAACGCCGAGGGGATTGCGCTGCACATGGCTCTGCAGGAGAAGGAATGGATCGAGTCCAATTTTGGTGTGTCGCTGTCTCCTGACGGACCCAAGGTGGTCGGACAGAGTCACCCGGATCCGCATTATCCTATGGGACCTGCGACGCCGGTATCGCCCAGCAGTGGAGGCAAGCTCGGCGAGAAGCTCAAGGGGCTGAAGCTGCAGACGAGCGAGCGGGAACTGTCCCCGAAGGAGGGTACGTATATACCATACACCAGAGCCAGACTGATGCTAACAATGCTATGATCAGCCTCCGCGCGACATCTACTATCCCCCCAGTCCCCCGACGTGGCCGTCTCCTCCTTCAACTCCTTTCACAGCATACATCGACCGACCCGCAGTCCTGCGCCCGCAGCGCCAGAGGCCCTACGAACGGTGGTGCACTACCCGCCGGAATCAGTACAGGCACAGCAGAATGTCGAACACCACACGGGATTCGCCTCGATGGGAGGGATGGCGCGCACAGCGAGCGCCGACTCGGGCGAGGAACTATTCGCAAAAGCACTGAGCCCGCGGACGCCAGACCTGCCGCGGAGTCCATTTTCATTCCGACCGGAGGGACTGCAGATGTGAGGGAGGCCATGCTTGGGTGTAACAACTTGCTTGCACTGAGTGCATTGATGATGGATTGGATGATGAACTGTGCATTACTGAACTGATACCTATGCTGTACATAGATGATACCTTTGAAACTGCAATTCATAGTAACTGATACCATACACATCCCACTACTACCTTACTTTCACTTCCCCACCACCAATTTCCCCCCCTCACCCTAACTAACACCCTAACCACCTAATCAATTCCTCTTCTTCTTACTTCCCCCCTCCCCATCCACCTTCCCCTCCTTATCCCCCTTCTTCGAAGAAGAACCAGACCCAGAACTAAAACTCTCCACCTCCTGCGCCTCCTTTCTCTCCGCATACCACTGCCCCGCCTGCAACACAAGCACACCAACCAACACCAGCGCAAGGATGGTATTACTCGCCGCCAACACCTTCAAACTATCCTCCCTGCCCAGAATCTGCCCTTGTTCCACATCCACCCCCTCATCCCCACCACCACCACCACCATTCTTAACCAGTTCATCCCCATAAACCCCGCCACTAACCAACCTCAACCCCTTGACAATATTCGCGATATACACCGTAATCCCACACATATACAGCACGAGACTAGCGCCATCGAACAACATATTGCTTTCGGAGGGTTTGTAGAGTTTCATGATCAGACCGAGCAAGCCGAGGAAGATCACGATGTGCAGGATGCGCGGGATTAGGGGCGGCGAGGCGTGCAGGAATCGGAGGTGCGATTCGAAGTAGTCGAAGTGCGTTGCGGGGGTCGGGGTTGTGGACCAGAGGATGGGGTAGTCGTAGGGGAAGAGGGAGAAGATGAGGCCGAGGAAGAAGGATGTTGCTGTTTTATTTTTATTTCATGGTTAGTAATTGATTGGTTTGGTTGGGGGGTGAGATTGGGGGGGAGCGTGAGTGTTTTGGGGAGAGGGTATGGGGGAGGGTGCTCACGGCAGACGATTAGGAAGGTCGCAAAGGACCCGTTGCGGAAGGCCATGATGAAGGCCGACGGGGTAGTATTCCCGTGGGTTTATGGATGGGTGGATGTGGATGAGGTTGGATTGTTGAGGAAGAGGAGAGGAAGAAGAGGAAGAGAAGATGGATGAGATATCGGAGGTTAGAGCGGGCTTGGCGCGACCGGGTTGGTTCTGGTTCCAGTTCAGCCTAATCGCCTCTAATCTACTTATCTCTTTAGTTGACTGCTTATTTGTTATCTACCCATTACCAATCCGCCATTATAATAGTACTATACTAGTACTGCACTATGCATGCAACTCTATTATATACGCCCTCAATGCCGCAGGCTGCTCATAATTAATCCCAAAAAATCCAAACATTGCAACGTAGATGGTATCTCCCGGTATCCCGCAATGCAAGCAATAGAACTCATCCTGACAAACGCCTTTTTATTCTCACCGCTGATATCGCGGTAATGCCTCGTCGCCGCGCGCCGCGCTGCCCACCAGCTGATGGTCGCCTTCGTCGTCGTGGAACACCGGCGCCGTCGGCGCATCCGTCGACCTGCCAGGCGCCTCCATAACTTCCACATCGTCAGGCGCACTGACTTCTGTCATCAACCGCTGTCGCTCAAGCTCCTGCTTATCCTCTCCAGGCGGTTCGGATCCACTCGCGCCCGCCGCGCTGCTTCCAGGCACGACGGTCTGCACCGACTCCGCAGAGATCACCGCCCGCGGGGTCCCATTCTCCGTCGGTGACGGCAGGTGGTGGTAGTCGTTAAGATGGTCGTCCTCCGGCAGCACTGGCGCCGTCGGAATCGCCATCTCAGATGGCCCAACCCCGGCATCATCAGGTGGGCGACTCGGCAGGAGCATCTGCTCAGCCCGCCGGAGCCGGCTCTTTTCATCGCTCGGCTCGTCGGCCGGCGGCGTCGATACCATCTCCCCAGGGTGATATGCCTGTGACTCGCCTGGGTACTCCTGACCGGCGTATTCAGGCCAGTGGGATGGTTCCCGCGGGAAGCCGTAGTCTTCTTGTGCCACATATTCACCTTCGGCGTTGGGGGTCGGGGACTGGTCGGTATTCCATGTCTCGCCGTCCGGGCCAGCGGGCTGCTGATTGGGATCCACTGGAGCGGACGTGGAAGGCGTGCGCTCTGCTGCCTTCACGCCGCGCTGCGAGTCACGCGTCCCAATGACCACTTCGAACATCACCGCCACCACGCCCTTTTCACGTCGAATCTGATCGGTGTCCAGGATGTTACCCGCCCAATTCGCCGTGATCACGCTGTTGTTGACATCGGCCGGGTTCAACACCTGCCCGCTGGAGGAGAAGTTGCCGCCCGAGGAGACCATGTTGAACCGGGGCAGAAACCGGTCGGGCGAGGTGAGCTTGCCCCGCAAGTCGACCACCACTTCCACATAGTACCGGAAGTTGATCATGCTCCCCGGCGTGCGCGTGATGGTCGGAAACGTATCCTCGGGCACCCGGATTGAGGTCTTCACCAGCGCGGTGAGGTTTGTGGGGTCCACCACCAGTGGTGCAAATGTCTGCGCTAGATCCTTGCGGAACACCCCGGTGGTGCGGCTGCTGCCAAGTGTCAGGCCGCCCAAGCCGGTCCGCGAGCGTGGATAGTAGTCTTCGTAAATGGGCTTCTTGCCATCCGCCGGTTTCCCCATCGGGATCGCGGGTTGGAGATCAATCCGCCCCTGGCGATACAGTGTCACGATGATCCCATGCGCGCTGCGCACCTGCTTGCAGTGGTTGATGGTGACATTAATTGGCAAGGTATCCCCCGGCAACACGCCTGCGCGCAGCACTTCTGCCTTGGCCATAATGGTTCGATCCGTCGTGGAGGGGGTGATGCTCCGGGCTTCGCTGTTCCGCATTCCAGTACTCGTCGATGAGTTCGGGTCGCTGGGAACCTGGAAGCTCAAACTGCTATTGCTCCGCCGACTCGATGAGCTGACATTGCTGGGCGCCGGGCTCAGAGGGGGGCGGTTGTCAATACTGTTGCCGCCGTGGGCTGACGGATCGATGGAGAGTGTATCAGGCGCGTCAGATCCGGCTGACTTGGCCTTTGCCTTCGACTTGGACCGTCGGGTAATCGGCTCGAGGGTGACGACGCGCGGCTTAGGTGGGGGAAAGGGCGCGATGTCAATGTTTTCTAGGACGTTGACGCGTCTCCGGCACGTCGAGGTCGGGTTGATCGTCGTCGGTTTGGTCAAGGTGGATGTAAGCATATATGATATCGTGCCTCGTTCGAACTAAATGCGACTGTGATCAGTATGGCCCAATAAAATCCATACGGAAGGGGATCCACGCACATTGATGCTACTGGGTAGCGCATACGGGGGAAAGCACATCTCAAAGCGAAACTTGTAGATTCCTTCTTTAAGCCGACCTTCCCCGCAAAGTACGACCTCGTCTTCGAATAGTGTGGACAGGCCATTTCCCAGATATTCGGCACCGCGACGCCCGCGCCCCGGCCCCAGAAAGCCCAAATCCGGGGCCTGTTCACCCGGGGGCACGGTGTTCTTGAAGACCTTGACAAAGCCATGGAGACAGACCACCAGATGTGTAATGCGAACGGGCCGTACCACTGTAAGGACAACGGTCCCACTGATCACATCCCCGGGAAAGTATGAGCGCCAAGGATCGTCCGGTTCGATGTAGAAGTCGGTGATGCTGCGATTTCGTTGACCGAGTTGGGAGCGAAATTTGGAGAGGAGGGAGCTGCGATTCCGACCGAGCGGCGAGGGGGGTTGTGAGGGGAGAGGGTTGACGGACATGACACACGACCCAATCCATGCACGAGGAGGGAGGGAAGGGAGGAGGGAGAAATGGCGACCGGAAGTAAGGAAGTCGGAATCGGGCGAACAACGAGCTGCTGACGGCGGAATTCAGGGGAGGGGCGGGTGGACAATGGGGGGGGGGGAGGACTGAAGGAGGGGAAGAATGAGGCTGGCAGGACCGGGGCTCAGCAGCGTCACTACGGTCAGTCAAGTGACGAGACGGCGACGAAGAGGTGGTGGTCGATGCGGACGCAAGGGGGAGCGAGTCGATGAGGAGCAAGAGTACACCGTCCAGATCTCGAGAGTCGAGGGAGACGAAAACGCGATCGAGACAGCAGGGAAATTCTCCTTCCAGACACCATCGATCAAGCTACCGATGAACCGGCCCGATGTGTCCGTCGGGCGCAAAGGCAGCAGCGACAGGAGGAGCAGCAGCAACAGCAGCAGGGTGAGTCTCTCGACCGGTCTAGGACCAGTTCCAACCCCAGCCGCAGCACACACAGCACTAGAATAGCCAAGCGCGTGTCTTTAGTGGGATGAATGGGTCCCCTTGTTTTGCTGGTCGCTGACGATGCGGGGAGTTTGGTCGGGGAAGATCGTGTCTCAAATCTCGGAGTTTGGGGGGAGGGAGGGGGAGGAAAACGAAGAAAGGAAAGGAAAAGGGAGAGACGAAGGGGAAGATGACAAGTAGGGAGAGATATCAACAGTAATGGTGACAGGCCCGCATTATTTCTCGACTGGAATTTCCCACGATCACGGCCAAAGGGTTGACAGAATAGCCCCTATAACCGGGATATACTGGAGGGGAGGGAGAGGGGGATGGATGATGGAAGGGAAAAGGAATGGATAGTCCCGGGAATTAGTGTGGAGGGAGTCAATCACGGGGAGGAGGGCTGGTAAGAGGATGACAAAAGAGCAACCGGAATGAACAGGACACGCAGAAGATAGTCGCGAATGGTAGTAGAGAAGAAAAGAGGAAAAGAAAGGAATGGATCCGTATGGAGAAAGGGGAGAGGGAGAGAGAGAGGAAGGGTCAACAGTACGGAGTAGTAGGAGGAGGTGTCAAGCAGAGAGGAAGTGATGGATGGAGAAAGAAGAAGATGATGGAGGGATGGAGATAAGCAGCCCGGCTTGTGGTCGAGGTCAAGCTTCTCTTGGGCCGTTCGTGGCTCGGCGGTTTCCACTCGGAGCAAATCGACTTTCCACTGATTCTATTTTCTGTACGAATTGGCTTTTTGGTTTTGCCTGCCGTGAGCTGAAATTATGCTTGTAGGGCATGGTGATGATAATTATTATTAATATTAGTCTTTTACTTATTAGTATTATTCTTCCACCATTTTCCTCTCCTTGACTAGTCACATTGACCACCACTCGTGGCTCATTAACTCGAAATAAAACCGACTAACGAATTAGTCCCCTCAAATGGACCAAGTTAACCACAAAGTACTACTAGTAGTTAAAACTAGTGGTGAGAAGCCGCTGACAAACTTCCCGACGGATGGATTGATGGATTCCATGACGGCCCATCCTAATAACAACCACCACCACCACTAATCATTCCTAAGCATCAACCACATCCAATCCATCCATTAGTGACCAGAACAGGACTACTTCATCTCCATCTCTAGCTCACGCAATCCTTCCCCCTCCACGTATTCTTCCCCATAACATTCCCGCTGCACCATCCGCAACACTTCCCGATCCCCTCCGGTCATCTTATCCACATACCCTTCCAAGATGTAGATGTTATCCGTCCACTGATGTGCCAGTCGCCGATACTCCTCCGTCTCCTCTTTAATCTGCGGTAAGCTTTTCCCCTCCGAACTTGTCGCCAACGCCATCCACTCCCCCTGCAGTTGATGTGTCTCCCGCTCGAGCACAGCCTTCTGCTCCATCAATCTCCGGCGCTCTTCCTCACCATTCCCTTCCCCATCCCCATGCGCCTCTTCGCCCTCTTCCTGCACTCTCGCCTGCTTCCGCGCAGACAATCTAGCCTCCGCATCTTCCCAACTCCCTCGGACCCGGTCCACCTCCCTCCGTAACCTCCGGATCCGCTCCTCGCGTTCTTTCTTCTCCTCTCCCCCAAAACACCAATACCAATTCCCACTACCGATCTTCTCAACCCGGATCCGTCCCTCATCGGTCAATTCCTGAATGTACTCCTTCACCTGCATTCCATTGATTGAGGCCACCGACGGGATCATCTTCTCCAGATCCTTCAGGGTGTGGCACGTCCCCGTAGCCCGCAGATGTGAGACGATCAGGGCTTGTTTGGCACTCCTGGAAAGTTTAGGCGGCTAGCTCGACACAATAGTCATTTATTTTGTTTTTTCTTTTTCCTTATTTTCTTTCTTGCTTCGTAAAAGGAAAAAAAAAAAAAAACAAGACAGAGAGACAGACAGACAGACACCCTTGGACTAACGCGCCCACTAAGGCACATAGTAGTAGTGCTTGCTTCCTTAGTGGCCTTGATGAGGTGCCCAATCACTCGCCCCATTGGTTGCGGGGAAAAGACGGAGGCGTCGACGTACCATGGTCAGGCAGGTAGCCTTTAGCTACTTGCTGTGTGTCTTGGACTTTTGCTTATGTCTGGACCCTGTGGAGAGGGGAGGGGGGCAAGGTGTTTCCTTTTTGAGGTTGCTGACAGGCATAAACGAGATTAATTAGTGGGGTCGGAGATGTCCTGCTGGTGAGATACTTACAGTAAGATGGATGGAGTTGAGTGATGAGGGTGGACCGGTGCGTGAGTGAGTTGAGTGAGTGTGTGTCTACTTTCCCACTACTACTACTACTACTACTACTACTACTACTACTACTACTACTACTACTACTACTACTACTACTACTTCTGGACACCCCAAACAGTAAAAGTTCCCCCCCGGTCATGTGGCATCACGGGGTCGACTTCAACTATAATGGCCTCGGTATTTGTTTGTTCTCCCCGTAGGGCTGCTGAGTATTCATTACTACTGGCAATCACGTTCATGACCTGCAGTTACAGGGGAGCATCCCCTGTGATAATGACTAGGCGCCTTCTATTTTTCTATTTCTGTTAAATCTTTTGCCCTTACTGGATACAAACCCCGCTCATCTCATCCTTGCAAGGCAGGCACTGGGTCGATGCGCGACATCATCGCCGAAACTCGTCCTCTCCTGTCTGTCCTTGTAGGGAGAGATACGTAGGTCTGCTGACACTGTCCCCCGATCCCTTGTCAAGCAATCGGAATGGCGATCTCTATCTAACGGGCTGTGTGTGACACAAGGTATAGATAACACGCCGGAACTGAATCCTCGCTACTGTCGTCTCATCACCACAGTTTGAACAAGGAAGAAGACAACAGAGGACCGTCCTATCAGCGAAATATCCTCTCCATACCGACGCGGCGCATCCAACAAAGCGTCCCATACCATAAAGCATAAAGGGGGCTACAGACTTCAGACGGGCAAACAAACCATCTGCACAAGTTCAACCTCAGACATTTGTCCATATTTCTAAACAAAAATCCCCCCCGTTCGCTCAACCCACCTACCTCCTACTTACCCGACTCAAAACGCACAGATCACGCAATTCTCTCACTACTGTATATTATACAGCACCCAGTACATAGGGCATCCATCCAGCCGATGCAGATCTTTTCCAAGCACCACGCACGGATCAGGTAATTCTCGTGTGTATTCCATACAAGCGTGCAGCTCACAGACATAAGCAAAAGCTTGTGTCAGCAGATGCCCATCCTGCCCTTACCACTGTAGGGGAAATTATCGACCAAAACACATGTCAGCTGAGTGTGAATCCTAAGTAGTAGCGAAGATGGCTGAAGTGGAAGCAAAAAGGGTCTGAGACACTCTGAGGCAAGATAAGGTTTTCTTTGACGGCCAGTCTATATCGCGGTGAGCTATTGCTTATGAAACACGGCTATGGGCGGCGGTCAGAGGGGGCGAGAGGATTATCCCCCCTCCACTCCCTCCCTTTTGTCCGTGAGTAAGTTGGTGCTGCTACTGGGATCTCGCCGATGCCGGCTTTCTCCGGCGTCTGCTTTGGTTCACCTGCAGGGGCTGTCTTTGTACTGCGGTGTACGGGTTAGGATGTACCGAGGGGAGCTACTATAAGCGGTTAAGGTATATTTCTGCATAAGATGACGGACATAAAATGCTTAGCATAGCTTGCTGATGTACGGGTAGCCTGTTCCTGAAGTGCGGTTGGGTGCCTAGGCAATCGTTAGTTATGCGGTGCACGGCAGGATGCAGACTTCGGAGACTGATCAGCATTTTTGCAGCCCTCTTGAGCTGGTTGTTTGATTGTCTCATCTGGTCGGACTGCTAACGGAGTGATGCGTGGATTCCGGCAGTGGTGACCTTGACTGTGAAATGGCGGCTTGTCGCGGGAAACGACATGATGACATGTCATCTGACTGACGATTTAATCACGCCAGAGCTACTTTCTCGTATGCAGTATGAAACATGTTTAGGTTACAGGTAAGGCATTTGGTGGATGCTATTAAAGTATTGTGGAGGAATTTGAATAGAAACAGGATATTCTGATACAACGTGCATTCCGCAAACTTTGTTCAAACGGTCAAGGAATGCTTGGGTGAAGAAGCGTGAGCAGCAATTGACCCTGGGGTGCATGAAGATGGACGGGCCAGTCCAATCAAGGTTCAACGGCATTCCAGCAGATGCACCAGCCAAGATCTTGGCGGCGCCGGGTCGACGATGATCGCGGGCTAAGATTTGCGATGTGCAACATGCATAGGGCTCTGCCTCGTGAGGTTGACCGGGGCTGGGCGAGGTGACTGATCGTATAGGAAGCAAAGACATGATGCTTCTTATTGCTGCCTCGATTGGACAGTCGAAGGTAAGGACCTGACTGGAGCCGAGACAAGCTTGCTGTACCCACGAGCCAAATGCATCTTAATCTAGTGGCTTGCTGAAAGATGAGATCTTTGATCCCTTACAGTTGCGCATCCAGCCAAGCAATGTTGACATCAATCCTCGCGTATCGTATTGTCCTCAATCTCTGGTTCTGGCGCCCTAATGATGAGCGGTCACCATAGGAGTATGCGACTGGATTGGAGCCCGAATGGATGATGCAACAGTAGTTGTGGAAGGTAGACCACGCCACAGGTACAATAACTGCTGAGTAGCTTGCTAGACCTCACCACCTCTCATCATCTTCCATGTCCAGCTCAGCTGCGGAGGTCATTTTACGACCCAACTTGCGCTTCTTTGGCCGCCTTTTATTCACCACCACGCTCTCTAACTCATCGCCCGAGCTCGCCATCGTACTACTCTGACCGGTATTTGCTCTTTTGCGGCGCATTGTTCGGCTGAGCTGAGGGACTAGGGGTAATTCGTCTGTCGGGATTTCCTCTCCCTCCACAAGCACCATGTCTCCGGTTTCACCCAGAGATTCCTTGGCCATTTCCTCCATTAGAATCCCCATAGCTATCAACGCCGTCTCGTCCATGCTCTGGTAATCATCCCGTCCTCCGTCGATCGTCGCATGGTCATAGTAGTCGGCCGAATATGCGTGAATGGCCTCGAGCAGCTCGGAGCTGGGTAGGGGGCAGCCGGGCGGGAGGGCCTCATGAGCAAAGTAGAAATCGTTTTCTTCGTAGCGCTGCGGGGCGTTTTGTCGACGGAAAAGTACTTCCTCCGGACGGACTGGACGAGTGCTGGACGATGCGGTATCGCGGTATTTGGAAGAGAATGGGACCGATGGCAGAAAGCCATGATGATTCACCCGACCTGGACACAGTCAGCCTGCTGAAGTGGGAGACAAGCCGCATGAGCACTAACCGGCAACGGCATCATAGACAGTCGCTTGTCGCTTCTGTCGCCTGGCGCCGAACTCATCTTGTTCCTGGGCTTCGACAACATCGGGGGTGGGAGGCCGGACGAAGGAATTCTGGCTCAATGCAAGGGATTTGCCGTAGGACATAGTCCCGGATTAGCTAGAGCCGCCCGTGCGAAAGGATCAGGAAGCTTGTTCCCAGGGAGGACCGGACAGCTGGAGGAGACTGTGCCGGCGGGCAAGTTGATACTTCCGATTGCTTTTGCGACACCCGGAAGATTTTCCCCTTCGTGATTGGTATTCCGGCACAACCTTTCTCCGGCAGTTGTTGCGGTCATGTGAGAACGAGTCATCCCATCTACTTATCACAACAACTCATCTGCCTTGTCTAGATATATCTTCACGGAGCTCGGAGAAGAGCTCTGTTGGCCTAATGAATGAATGCGTATCTTCTCAATAGGGTTTTGGGGTCCATAAGTCCCTCAACCTTTCATGTCGCACAAACCACGCGACTTGTTCAACAGCTCGAGCCGGCGCCTGGCATTCGCTTCTCAGCACGTAGAGACATTCCCTTAGGAGGGAGTCAAGAGGATGCAGGCTTGATCTTTGATGATGAGGTATTTGCTCACAAGGCGGGAGTGAATGTGCTCGCCATCGATCACTATGATGGCCGATTGTATGTTACACTCACCCTGTGCCTGGCTCCAATTAACGGTAGACAGCATGGTCTCTGGGGGTGCAGATCCTTCAATTCATCTGTGGGATTTGGAGTCACGAGGCTCAGATCTGAAACATTTGCACCAGTCCGTGGCATCTGTCAACAGAGCCTCGCATGAAGATGCCCACACACGTGCCATTACTTCCGTCTCAATATACCCATTTGATCCTACACCGTCTACTATCTTGACAACCTCGTACGATGGTACACTCAAGCTTTCGGCTTTAGCCCCAGCGGCTATTACACCTGTGCACACTTTCAATCTAGACTGCACACCGTACAGCCATTCGCTGTCGTCAAATCCAGCGTCTCCTTTGCTCATTGCAGTAGGTACCTCGGAGAAGCCGGTCCGACTACTTGACCTACGTTCAGGTCTGTCGACACATGGTCTCCCTGGACATGAATCTTCAGTCCTGTCCGTATCATGGGCTCCTCATCAGCCACACATCCTGGCTTCTGCGTCGGCAGATAATAGAGTAATTCTCTTCGACATCCGCCGAGGAGGCCACAATTCAGCCATCGCAGCACTAGACATGGATGATGCCGTTGGACTCGTGCGCCCGGGATCCACCCCAGCATCTTACCAGAGCCGCCCAGCATTCTCGCCGCACGCTCGAGCCCATAATGGCGCCGTGACGGGTGTGCGGTGGACGTCTACCGGTAGTCACCTGGTAACCGCTGGTCAGGACTCTCGGATTCGAGTCTGGGATGCTGGAACAGGTGCGAACACGCTTGTACACTTCGGTCAGCGTGTCCGGAACAGTGTGACTTCTCACCTGGCCGAAAGGGCACCGCTCATTATACCTCGCGCAGTGGTCACCCCTGGGCAAGAAACGCTCTTATGGCCAAACTTCAATGAGAGAGATGACCGTGGGGAGATCTTCATGTTCGAACTTCGAGAGGGGGCTTTTGTCAAGCTTCTTCGCGTACCGGGTCTCGTGACCGGTCGCCAGCAGTTCCAGGGCCGCTCCAGTGCCCTCAGCGCTGCCAGGATCAACGCCCTTGCTTGGCGCGGTAACGGTGCCTCAGGAGAAGGGATCGAGATGTTTTCGGCCCACGGCGACGGAACCATTCGCACCTGGGCCTCGCGGGAACCCGAGGGTGAGCCGGATGATGAAGCCGAAGAAGCCGAACGAGCAGACCGCAAACGCAAGCGCGATGTTCTCGACGAGATCTACCGGGGATTTATAGGCTAACTGTACGACGAAGAACTCTACGGAACGACAAAACATAGCACAAGATAGAAATATCGATTCGTTCATCTATAATACATCATATTCATGTCGAGCATATCCCAGATATGCATATCATTTACTCGTTCCTGATCTGGTGCTCGCCAATAGCATCTTCGTCCTCCCCGGAGAACCGCTCGTAAGAACTGCGGTTAAGATTGGAGTGCTTCAGGTTTCTGGACTCGCCCTTGGCACCAGGGTGATTGGTGCCGATCAGGGTCCTCTTGGACTCGCCTTCAGCCGGGAAACTATCACCAGTTCCAGTGACGACTTCGCCTGAGGGAGCCATGTCTCTTGTGCTGCGAGGCATATCGGTGGCGTTGTCGGCGGCAAAGGCGGAGGTCGGGTGAGCGATACCGTAGTTATCGAACTGAGAATCTTCGGAGCGCTGATCAGGGCGAGGAACGGAGGGGATTGTGTTCATAATGCCTGCATCGTTGGGAATGCGAGTGCCCTCGGGAGCCATGTCCTCGAGACGTCCGCCGCGGTGAGGGTCAGAAGACATATTGAGTGGTATGGTGGTATTTGAGCTTGGTGAAGTTTTGGAGTTGAATTGAGTGGATTTGATTACGGTCGAGCTTGGTTAGGTTTAATCTGGATGGGCAAGAGACCACCAGGCCAAGTCAGTTTATATAGCTGATGAGTCGGGCTGGACTGACATCTGATGTCACTGTCCAGGCGCAAATTGAGTCTGGGCCATGATGAGGCTATGATATCAGCAGGGTCCCAACGTGCATCCGAGCGCAGGGAACCAGTCAATCGATGATGAAACATGCAAGGATCTATGGAATACTCCAACCCAAATCTAGCCGAAGATTCCATAGACTCCGGTCATCCAATTTGGAGACGAAGGCAAATCACGTCAGTCCCTAAGGTACCCGCTATACGTTGCCATACTATCACCACCCGCCCTTTCGGCACCACCACATCATGGTTTGCAACATTACTGCCCATCTGACAGGTACGCCATTCACAGATGGTCTTTTTTCCTTTCCGATATCTGATTTGCCCCTTCAGCATCTTCAGCACTTTAAATTGAGTAACGTCATCGCCATGGCCATTTCTGACTCAGCATTCGGGACCCTTCCCGGCCAATCAGAAGGCATCCTCAGGAACAATGGCTTTTAGCTTCACTTCAACAACCACCATCCGTGGAATGATACTTTATAGAGGCCTTATCTGTGTCTGCCTCGGTGCTCATAATATTATTCTCCAAATCAGCGATGCACAGTATCAGTTTCTTTCGGTCGCAAACTCCCTCGGTCAAACAATCAATGCGTCATCCACCTCACACGGCGACCGGTTTTTGCTCTCCGTGCCAGTGTCGTGCAGCGAGGCAAGATACTACATACATACACGGGGTTATGTGATGGGGCGATAGGAGAGTTCAACATTTGGCACACAGTGCCAATCTCGTCAGTCGCAGCCGCGTTCCCATCATAAACACACTGCCCGCAAGTAGGAGAACGCCGGAGTAGACCTTCATTCCCCAGTAAGACCCGTCGTCATAGGCTAATATTGCTCCTCCAATGGACCCTGTTACAAGCCCCGCGATTGATGCGAAGAAAAAGTTCAGCCCAACCCAATATCCGATTTCTCGAGGCGGGGCTATGGGTGCCACCAAAGCCACGAAAATAGTATAGTAGGCCCCCGACGTGACTCCAAACAGTACATCAAAACTGATGATTGCTGAGTTGTTGGTACCCGGGATCCAAAGCGCGAGCACCAGGATACCGGAGCAGACAGTACTTGAGATAAAACTGTTGTATGCGCCGGTCTTGTCCGCGAAAAAGCCAGAAAAGAATCGTCCAAAGAGACTACGACGTACATCAGTACATGCATGGTATTATAAAGGAGTGGGGTCAGAAACACACCTTCCAGCATTCTGAATAGATACGAGGTACTGCGACAGATTGTTCTGCATTCCCACAGCCAATGACGATGTGACGATATAGTTACTTGGAACCCATATACCAAAGCTCAGCAAAGTGCCGCCGGCAAGAAGCAAGACCATATTCACATCTCGGAAAGGGTGCAGGAGGTTCTCTCGATTCAAAACCTCTGGGCGTGGAGGCACGCGCTCCCTTACAGTGAGACCAGCGATGATAAGAAAGACTAACATCATGAATGCGACGATCCGCATGGCCCAACCGAAGCCGACTTTGGGAATGAGTTGGTTAACTATGATTGGCAATATGATGCCCGCGATCCCTGACGAAGACGAGATGATTCCGTATGCCAATCCGCGCCGTTTGTTGAACCAATTAGGAATGACACTCAAGACTGGCTGCGCTATGGCGCAGAGTCCTATTGGACTACAGATGCCCTGTGCGAGCAGAACCTGATAGTATTTCGTGGATATAGAAGCCATCATGACCCCAAAAATATGAAACAATGAGCCTCCGATGACGACTGCGCGCGGTCCGAAAGTATCACTCAGCCGGCCGACAATAGGACCCTGTATATCTCTCACAGCATCAGTATGCAGAACATGAGATCCGATGAGCAATCTATCTTCTTACCAAGGCAAGCATGAAGAAGACTTCAAACGAAGGGATCCACGCGATCGTACTCGCAGGATAGCCTGGAAACATGACATTCTGATAGTAGTTCTGGAACACGCCAATACCTATTGTGAAATTCTAAGTATCAGTGAACCCGAATGTCCTAGCTTTCTGAACCATTTCATACGGCCACTTACTGTGAAGCCACCCATAACTGGAAAACATCGCACACCATCCACCCACCACTATCAGCCACGCTGCTGTACCACCGTCGGGGACTGAGTCATCTCGGTCGCCTCGGTCGTCGACTTGGGAGTCTGGAGTCGTCCGTCTAGATGGTGGGGTGGCAGACAGACACTCTTTAAACCTGCTGTGTCCAGGTCCTATCGTGTGAGTATCACGAGCATCTTGGACTGGGCTTCTTACTACCGATATGGACATTTCGAACGGCCCTCTTCGTCACAGAAAGGTGATATGTTAGATGATAGAACTTGCTCCCCACGAACAAATCACATATATCACAACACATCGCGTCCATCTCTAGCGCACTCTAATCAGAACATTCGCTGGCATCACCTTGAGATCAATTGGCTAGATTATTCTCCGACATGCACCATTAAGCCCATTAAGCACATATCATCACACCGTTGGAACAATCGAAGCTGATGCACAGTGAAGATCAGCGAACCTATACAGTTGGCACAGCGAACATTCCCAGACCTTCTTATACACGGTACAGTAGTCCATATTACACCTATCAGACCATCTTTTACAATATAGTATCTATCTACTTTGGTAAATGCCAAAATTATTTCCCAGAAAGCAAAACCGGAAATACCTTTTCAGACAAACCAGATACGGTGTACCTGTACGGAACCACATCTGGACTCAGAACTCAAGATAACCTCCGACGCATGCATGCTGTAGCGTGCCAGATGGGATCTCATATACATAAGCCGATCGTGGCACGATATCACTAAGCTATAGTTATGTGGGTAGTGAGTGTACAGGGATATGAGAAAAGGGTTGGAGAATGGGTCCTCAGCTAGTCGTTTTCATGATATTCATCATCATCAAGCGCTGTAAAGCATCATGCTCTAGATAACTAACTATTTAGCGTTCTTAGGCCTGAGTCGAATTACTGCTGCTGCTCACCGCCAGTTCGCAGATGACACATGGCTTTACCGACACATGCACGATAGTATGCGTTGAAGGTTGTTTCATGTAAGGAGACCTGGCTAGCTACGGCCTTGATACCGATATGGTGGGTTGAAGGACGAGCTACGTGTACGTCTAAAAGTGAAAGAACATCAAGCATTGTTGCATTAGATTCGAAAGAGAAAAGGTAACAGATACATGCAATCAATTAATGCTGAAAGCGAGTAACATGGATTATGAACGAAGGGCATCCGAAATAGATGATGAGGCAAAAGAATGACATGAAATGTATGGGACATTCTCGGGATTAATGGATCCGCGGATGATTTGCTGCTGCATGGCTTTTACAAGATCAGGGCCAGAAGGGCGACCAGGCCTGTGACGATGGGGAAGAAGCCATGCGCCGGAGCCACCTGTGCGCCTGCGCCTGTGAACATGATGCTGTTTGTCGAAGGAGTAGGCGTAGAGGACGGTCCGGGCAGGTCATAGCGGAAAGATGGCTCGGAAGCGACGGAGCCGCTGGGCTTGGGTGTGGGTACCCCGAGGCTGCTGGCGGCTGCGGCTCCACGGAAGGCTTCAGTGGGTGCAGGAACGTAGACAGGGATCATGTGGAATGTGGAGGCCTCTTGGATGGTGATAGTTGAGGCGATGCTGTCCAGGTTGCCGGGGAAGGGGGCAGTAGGGGCAGGGTCCATGGCGACGTTGGAGCTCATGGCCACGGGCTGCTGTGCTGCAGAGGTTGCCGCGACGTCAGGTACATGCTCTGGCTCCGAAGGGTCGGAGTTGTACAGAGCTGATACACCAGTTGGGTCGGCAATGGAAGCAGCGCCATTGTACATGGGGTTGGAGGGGGCGGCAGCTCGCGTGGACTTGGCAGGTGCGTTGTACATGGGAACGGACTCAATGCTGGGCCCGGTTGGCTGGGCTGGGGCATTGTAGAAGGGTGTGGACTCTGCAGCGCCTGCGGCGACTTCAGGTGCATTATAGGCGGGGGTGGATTGAGCTACAGCATCAGCGGCCCCTGTGAAAGGCTCGTTGAAGACAGGTGCCCCATGTCCGTGTTCAGGGAGTCCAGTATTCCGACTCGGACCACCGCTCAATGTGCGGGTAACCGTGTGGACAATCTCGTGGACGACTGGTGAGGCGCAGCTTGAGCTTGTGTCAGCGTCCTTGGCCGAATCATCTTCGCCGGAGTGAGCAATGGGGTCGACTCCCACATCATGTGGTTTGCTGGAGTCATGCGAGTCATGGGAGTCGTGGGGTTCAGTTGGCTCAAGATGAGTATCCTTGTCAGTGTCCTTCACGTTGGCGGAGACAGAGTGGTCATCACTGTAAGCTTCATTGGTAGCCTGGCCGTATACATTGGTGACTGGGAGGATGGCGGAGTTCCCAGTGTCTATTCCAGATTCACCCTGAATGAGACTGTCGTCTGCGCGGTGATGGTGTCGGTGCGGCTCATCCACATGGGTTTTCTTAGAGTCCACATCAACGGAGTGATCATCCTTATCAGCTTCGTTATATTCAGACGAGAAAACATTCGTAATCGGGATGGTCGCAGAGTTTCCTGTGTCAATTCCTGACTCGCCCTTGATCAAATCCCGGGGTAGATGTGGGTGTCCGTGGAAGCGTCCGTGCTCGGGACGATCAATTGCTGTATCTTTGATATCTGCATCCACGGAGTGGTCATCCTTGTGGGCTTCATTCACTTGGGATGAGAAGGCATTGCTGATAGGAAGGCTAGCAGAGTTGCCGGTATCAATTCCTGATTCTCCGTTAATCAGATCACGAGCATGGTGGTGGTCAGAGCTGCCATGGTGGACAGGCGCCCCCTTCACAGCTGTGTCCTTTATGTCGGCATCCACAGAGTGGTCATCCTTGCTAGCCTCATTGTACTCAGAACTAAATGCATTGGTGATTGGAATTGTAGCAGAGTTCCCGGTGTCAATGCCAGATTCTCCCTTGATCAAGTCGCGTGGGTGATGGGGGTGGGGATGGCCATGGACAGGTACTGGCACGGGCACTGGCTTTGGGTCTGGCTTCTCCTTTACCACAGTGTCCTTCGTGTCTGTGCCCACCGAGTGGTCATCCTTGCTAGCCTCATTGTACTCAGAACTAAATGCA